CAAAAACAATTGAGGACGCCTATCTGCAAGCGTTATTGGATGAAGATGATACGCAAACACAAGATCAACTTGCGGAGGCATTAAACATGACTCGCCAAGGTATTTCAAAACGTTTATATGTCATGGGAAAAATTCAAAAGGAAGGAAAATGGGTGCCGCATGAGTTCACTGAGAGACAGATGGAAAATCGAAGAGCTACTTCCGAAATTTTGCTTTTGCGGCATGAAAGAAAGAGTTTCCTGCATCAAATTGTTACTGGCGATAAGAAGTGGATATATTTCGAGAATCCCAAATGCAAAAAATCGTGACTTTCACCTGGCAAAGCATCAACATCGACGGCACGACCAAATCGCTTCGGAAAGAAGACAATGCTCTGCGTTTGGTGGGACCAGAAAGGAATCGTGTACTATGAGCTGCTGAAACCGGGCGAAACTGTCAATGGGCATCGCTACCGACAACAACTGATCAACTTGAACCATGCATTGCTCAAAAAACGGCCAGAATGAGACACGAGACACGAACGAGTGATATTGCAGCACGACAACGCTCTGCGCTATCGCACTTCCATCGTCCAGGACACCATCAAAACACTGAAATGGGATCTGCTACCGCACCCGCCATATTCACCAGATCTGGCCCCTTCCGATTATGACTTGTTCCGGTCGATGGCGCATGGCTTGGCTGGGCTACACTTGGCCAATTTCGAAGAAGTGCAAAATTGGTTGGATGAATGGTTTCGGTCCAAAGATGCATCGTTTTATCGTCGCGGTATTCATGTATTGCCAGAGAGATGGCAAAAATGTGTAGCTAGCGAGGGACAATACTTTGAATAAACCATTTTTTGTATTTCTCTTGAAATTTTCTATTTTTCATTGATCAAAAAAACCCGGAAACTTAGTTGCGCACCTAGTACGTATCCGTTAATTATTCAGTGTCCGAATTTAAATATTTATGTACAGGTAGAATTTAAATTGTATAGAAAAATTCTGTTTTGTAAAAAAACTAACTTGAATAAAACATTTAAAGCCGCGGCATTGACATCGAATTTGGACTCGAAAATCGTGTACATGGAAAAATTCCTCATGCCACGTTCTAAAGTGAGGTGAATGGCCGCGCGGCCGTAGTGCCGGGATAGATTACTTTATCTCAGGAGAGGGGGGGTAGCCGCGGAGTGGGGGTAACGAGCATAGCTCA